ACTGCTCCTCTATGGGTCAGTTGTGTTCTTTGATCTCCTGATTCTGGAACCACTGATTCTGAGGTCCTTCTGGATCCCAGCCTCATTTACCGCTGTAGATAACTGTAAGCAGTTATTACAGTTGGAGCATCAGAAGATAATGGAGCTTCTCAGTCCAGATACAAACTTCATTTTAGCCACCGAATATCCAACATCAGCAGTTGCTTTGGGCTCCATCATAGGGTCAGTCTGTTTATATTTGTTTATATTAGTGAGGGGACCAATAACACTGATGCATCAGTGCATGTGTTGATCTCTAAAAGCAAAACTTGCTGTGTCTGTGCGCGTATCATTTAAAGAAAGCCATATGAAAGATACATTAGCTTTTTTTATCTGAATGACGCAGTAAACTGTGTTTATAAGCACATCTGTCAATGTAACACATCTAACAAAAATAAAAATCTCTGATCTTTTGTCATCAAATGAAAGAAGAATATAGTTTTATATAGTTTTTATTATAGTTCATCAAATCCGTGTCAGTTTATTCCGTGAATGAGGCTGCCTGTAGTGATTTTAAATGTCCAGCAGGTGCACACAGTATCGACAAAGTATTAATACAGTTTGCCAGTATATCGAAATGCTTCATAACGCCTCATCATGACCCAGAACTAGTTCATTTCAAGCTTAGGGTCAACTGGAAATATATATATCTGCTCTGCTTTGCTGAGGATTTTTCAAATCTATCATTACAGAAGCATAAATGTCCCCTTACCCCCCCACAATGGACTGTTCTTCACAGCATTCAATGAAGCTTTCCCCCCCCCGCCATCAGACAGCTGAAAGGTTGAAAAAAATACTCTAAATCAAGTCATAAACTCTGCATCACTGATAACACAAAACCAATAATACTGCATATTTGCACCATAATTATTTATCTGGAAAGGCTCTGAACTTCCATACCAATTATTTTTCTCCCACACTGTACCTTATCCACTTCATTTGATCACTGCTGCTGTTTATGAAATGGAAATGGTCCTTTACTGTCTGAAAGCTGTACTAAACGAAATTTATCATGTTTATTCATATTGCGCCAGTTCCCAACTCATGGCATCTCCAGGCTCTTTATAGAGTCAGTTCTGTCAAATCCTACAGACATAATTATTAAACCATTTCAAACCTCTCTCAGGTTCTGCTCCATGTTAAAGCTATAATTGTCACGGTCTTACTTTCTGTTAAACTTTGATCCGTGTGTTTCATTGGTTTATTTCCTACTTTATGTTCCAAGATATATTTTAGTTCTCAGGTTTTTCTTTGTTGTCCTCTGTTGCCCTCTTGTGTGTGTTCCTTTCCCCTTGCCTTCCTCGTTGTCTCCACTCACACCTGCTCCTTATCTGCTCGTTAGCCCTGCCTTTGTCTCAGTCAGCCATATATACTCTCCCTCTGCTGTCACTCTTTGCTGGTTCCTCATCGTCGCTGGTTTCTCGTCGCTGTCTTCTTACATCGTCTTACTTCTTACTTCGTCTCTCCTCACCTTTCCCCGACTCCATGTGTTCTTTGTCTCCATGGTTCTGGTTTGTTTTACATTTTTTATTGGATTTTTTGATTTTTTTGATTCCTGCTGCTGTTACCTGTGTTAATTAATTAAGAAAAAAATAAAATGCAAGAACCCCCCCCTGCATTTGCGTTTTGGACCCAATGCATCCCCTGCATTTGGGTCCAAAACCACAACCAAACCTTGACAATAATAGGTTTACTGCCAAGAGCTCTCATGATATTCAGGTTCTGCTGTGTTGTATGAAAATTCTGCAGGAAAGGAAACAGAGAGCTTAAAGGATATTCAATTAATTTTATCATCATCCAAAGAAGAATCTTCTGCCTATAACATGCAATTTGTGATGTTTTATAGAACTTGAACATTAGTCAAAAGGCCAGTGGACCATAAGATTAAAATTGTATCGAGACTACAAATCCCAGAAAGCCCTCAAACATGCTGGTTATACAAGGACTGTAATCATGAACTGCTGAACATATAAAGCTAAAAATGTTGAAACTAAACGGGCTTAATCTGATGCTTAAACAGACATTAGTCACATAGTTGAAATTCCTTGTTTTTGTCAGTCTCATCTTAAAGTCTAGTTAGACTGAAAGCAACGTGTCCAGCAGCTCTGCTGCCACCAGGAAACACTGACAAAGATCACTGAGAACATAGACATCTGTCTATGGATAATCACTGGAGTTATCTCTATATTTCAGATTAAAATCAGTTTAAAAATTCTGTTTTTTCTTTGAAATCTTGCCTGTAGAGAGAGAAATGATGAAGATGACATCAGAGCCAAGAGCAGGGAGGTTGTTGGTAAAGAATCCTTTTTTTTCCCATTTTGACAAAATTACATACATGATATATTCAGCAGTTATGCAGTGTTTTAGTCTGCTCTGGTCTAATTACTAATGACTGTATTTACTGAATAGATGTTCTTTAATTTTAAGTTCACAATGAAAATACATACAGTTGGAAACTTGAGAAAGTTCAGGACATCATAAAGTGCATTTTTGAACAGTAAAGTATTTGTCTCTGTGTTAAAAGATTTTAATTCTCTCATTGGGAAGAGGATTAGAAAATAAACTGAACCAAGTTCCAGCAAAACATGACAGCATTTATTGTTAAAGGTTCCAATCAGTAGGATTTACATGAGTGAAAGAATAGGAAGTGGGATGAATTATCATAGGGCCACCAGTAATATTTCTAATTTTTAACTAATGATGATATTAATATTATTTCTGTCTGTGTCCTTTTTTGTAAAGTTTGGATGTCATTATGGTCTCATAATGAGCATAAAGTTTCTTAATTCCTGAAACTGCAGTAGATAGAAAAGCTGGAAAAACAACTTGCATTTCCCGGATGAGCCTCACACAAACAGAGAGCTGCTGGTGCAACTATGTAAACGAAGATGTCTCCATCAGCTGATGGAGGAGCCTGCCCCATCCTGGTTTGATCAAGTGATCAACAGCTGAGCGACATAAACAAACAGCTGAGGAGCTCAGTATCATTCAGACCGTCATGGATCACAGTCACCAGAGAAATGCTTTCAACAGAGGTGAGTTTCAGCTGTTTTTAAGGGTAGTTTGAGTTTCCTTATAGTTTGAAAAGTATAGCAGACATTGATTAGAAAATGAACAAAATGCTCATATTTTTTATGTATGAAAAAATAAAACTACAACATGAGACTAAGGTGGTAATAACAGTTTTATTCAGCACTAGAGAGAAACTGATAAAATGTTTCCCTGAATACTAATTGAACTGTTTAATGTTCAGACTGTAGCTTCTTATGGATTAGTTACCTGGTTGCTCAGTCACACTGCAGCTCAATAAGTTCAACCAAGGGGGAGATTTAAAAATAGAAACCTGCAATGATAAAGATCCAGGTCGGTAAAATATGTTTTATGTCTCTCTGCTGATTGAAGGGACAACAAGTTCTGGTGTAATTTGAAATATCAAATTAAATCTCTTTAGCTGGTTCAACTGATTTAGATAAAAAAAAAAATGTCGCTCTGTGAGAAATATTTTGCTTGCATTACCGTGACTCTCCACTAGGGGTAACTTTTTCTTTTCAATCATCCAGGTCAGAATCAGAAGCTTAAATAGAAAGCAGCATTGCAAAGAGCCACACAACAAAATGTCCTCAGATTTCCTTGGTACCTTCAACACATCATACCATAAAGCTGAACTGTTTCCATCTGATATTTTCTTATGTTTCACTGATTATTGTAAAATAAAAACAGCTGAAGTCACAAAATGTTCTCAGGATCAAGTATTGTAGGGCAGCTCTGTCTGTCCAGTCCTATGCTTTATTATTTATTACTACTTCAGTAGCTTTCAGTGAAGTTCAGCCTCTCTGCTTCTCAGTTTCAGTTTTAAAGGATGAAACTCAGGATGTCCGGCTTTGGTTCAGTGAACAGGGAACCTGTCCTTAGTCTGACAGGTTGAACCAGTTCCTGTTTATAACCGTTTATCCCTTTAGAGATTAAGAGATAGATGGTAATAATAACACCATAATATTCTTTAAGTAGATTAAACATTTGCTTAGAACAATTCTTGTAGATAAATGTTAAACTAATGACTAATGTCAAAGAAATGAGTAACATTAATCAACAATAATACCAATCTTTCTTTTCAAGGATGGAATATTATTGATGATAATGTGTATTTATCTAATGTTATTACAGTGTTTTAACTATTCAGTTATTTTACTTTCAAATATCACTACTGTTAAACATTAACACTTAAACTTTAAAACTATTCATACCCTTCCACCTCTATCTAGACTTTTATTGCTTAATTTGAATTAAGGATTTAAAGAGGCTTTTATGTTGGAATGGGATCTGTTTCTACTTCCGCTGGCTTTTCCCTTTTAAAGAAACAGCCAATCAGCATTTTGCTTTCATAGGGAGTCATCTGTCTCCATGTGACTCTATCCTCTGCATTTTATTCTGTCACACCTTCATGCCCACTGTAGCTCCATCTATAAATCTTGTCCTTCAGGCCTCCTGCCTGGCAGTTACAGCCTCATTATCCTCCTACTGATCTCCTTTCCATCCCTCCTCTCTCAAACATGTTTTTCAGTGAACTTTCCCTTTGATGTACTGCTATTCATGCTCTTATCCACCCTCATCACCTCTAAATTATAACCATACCATATTAAACCATATTATAGCTCTTCTTTTCAACGTCTGGGAAACTTTTCCTCTTATTCCAGGTGAACCTCTTTTATGAAATGACACACTTGATCTTTTCTTTACCTGTTCCAACCTGCTCAGACTGGTTTCTAAAGCTCTTTTTCCCACTCGACCATCCTCTGTACTGTTGATCCTCAGTCCCTACATTCTGTGAAACCTAAAAAAATTGTAATCAAACCTTCTTGTGAGAAATATCTGTCAGAGCATTTCTCTCCCTGGTTCAGTCCAGAGACCATTATATGTTAGACCTGTTAAATTTTTGGTCTGTGATTTTTCTTCTCCTTCAGATCAGAGAAAGATCAGAGGCAAACACCTTCACTCTGCCACATGGAGTTCCTCTCTGTTGTAGAGTGGACAGGCACTGGACTAGGAGGATGGTCTTCAAAGACAGATCCAGAACATCAGCATCCACCTTCCAAGAAAACAGAAGATCTTCAGGAGACCTGTCCATGGTTCTGAAAGACGTGGTGAGTCTTGATGGTCGAGTCGTTCAGAACAGAATGCCTAAGAAGAGAGCATTTGTTATAGACTCCCTCCACCTCCATCATCCATGTGGATCAAGCTCCTTCCTCAAGGTAGGCCTTTCAGTCTCAGTTATCTACCTGTATGGCAAGCCATTGAGTCATATAATGGCATTGAGATGATATGCCAAATTTGAACAGGAAGACTAGATTTATGCCAACCAGATTAAGAATAATATTATAAAGAACCCTGAGCTGACTAGCATCTAGATCTAGCTTCTCAGTGAGTCCAGGTCGTAGCCTGAGTAACAGCAATGTAACAGTAAATGTTTTAAAAGCCTGTTAATCCATCAACCTCCACATACTGACCTGTGTTCAAAGCTTCCCTAAATGCATTTCAGGAAGTGTGAGCTTAAAGAGTAACTTGGTATCAGAATCTCTTCCCAAATTTCTGTTTTTGAAGGACAGAACTGTGAAAATTCAAAGAAACTTATGTTGAAGGTTTGGGTTCCACCAG